GCGCCTCTCTTAACGCAAACATCCATTACTGAGCGTCTTAGGTCAGACGATACGATTATCAAATCGATCACTGCCTTTTGTGCACAAGTTTCCTTGTACCAGGTATTCTGGTGCACTCTTCGATGCTCGAAGGTGTTCTTAACGGACAGTCCGTTGTTTGCATAAAACGGAAACAATTTCATGCCGTTATTGTTGAGGTCGCTAGGGTCGTTTTTTCCAATTACGCCGTGCCACTTTTCAGCGTCTACTCCGACGTGCTCATTGAAATCGCCCACGAGTATGAGCGACTCTGTATTTGGCAATTCGGACTGAGCACACTGCACTTCCTCAAGAAAGGTGCCATATTCTCCCTCCAAATTGGGCGCATCGACCTGTGCCAAGGACAACGCTGTATCCTGTTGTAGCCTCAATCGGAGGATTACCATCCTTCTGGTGACAGACTTCGGATCAATGATTCTACCTGCTAGGTTGGGTTCTACCAGAACGCCAACACCGGCCTGAGCGCGAGTCGTGATATCGACGCCTGAGTAGAACACTGAGGTTCAGGAGTCTAGAGCCTGGGCGTTTTGTTGACGAGAGTCCAACGATATCGAGTTGGTACTTCGTGGCCTCTCAACTAATTCATGTTCTTTTCCTCTGAGTGAGGATATGTTGCAATTTCCGACTTTAAGCTCCCACTGTGTCGTTTTCGTGGAGCCTATTCTGACGTGGTGTAATGGCGTGAGGTAACTCCGGCAAGAAAAATGATGTTAGATGCATCTGGCATCGTATGTTCTCAAATAACATAGAGACATCGTTTGTTTAAATGCTCCCCCCTCCAGCCCCCAGGGAACTAGCTACAATGGGTCGCTGCAATGACGCCGTTAAATCCTGGTGTACCTTATTGAATGTGAGGAATACCCTGATGATGACCGATAAATTCGTTTGAAATGTTGGAGTTGTTGTAAACGAAACTATTATATCTGGATTTTTGGTGCTGTCAACCATGGAATCAGACGACTACTTGCCTTATTTGAAGTTCTCTAGTTATAGAAATGGAAAACAGACGCTTTCACTGGCTGTTACATGTCAGCTTCATATTCATAAGAGTTAACCGTTAGTCAATTAATATTTGATACAATTCTACTATGCGACGTTTCATGGTATTTCATCATTCCCTTTCTGTAGGTGTATCGCATCTCTTTTAAATATGGTATTTCCATGATATTTTACCCGTGGAATCCATAGATGCATAGCGCGCTATTTGATTGGCTCTATTAGTGCTTCCCGTTTACGGTGTAGGTAAATCAAAAATGGTTCGTACGCACACCGACTTTGGCAACGTTGTTATGGCGTGCAAAGACGAATATTCTGAGCCATTCCGTTTGTGCTATATGACTAGACGCTGTTAAAGAAACAAGGAATCGATTGAGGAAATATTGCCGATCAATAAAAACCGGTTCGACTGGTTATAATCCCCATGAGCAATTGATGTGCAGGTTGCGAACCGATAACTATTAACTGTTTTTTGCTGCGGGATGACATTTGACCCCGGCTTTTAGATTGGTATGGAAAATTTCATGTACGAGCTTATAAGCTTGTGTGTACCTCGAAAATGAGTCTGATGGAGAAAGCCAAACTGCTAACGGTCTGTAGGAAAAAATCGATAATAGTCATGTCCGAAGAATTGATTTTCAGGATCTATGCACGAATGAGAGTCCTGACTTGTCCGCTCCCCTCTGTAGATCCGAGGAAGACGGCATATTTTTGGGACAGTGTCAGCTGCCAGCTGCTGTGTCCTGTACGTTCTTTGGGCAGACGCTCGATGCGCCGCCATCGACGGTGATGAGTCATTGTCATAGGAACTTTCGCTTTCACGAGGCTGTCGAAAGGTCATTGCACTGTGCAAAGTTGTTGACTTGAATGCATGTCGATGCCGACACCTGCCCCACAACGGATGTTCGGTCTGCACATGGTGTACAGAGGATCTTCGCTCTCGTCGTCCAGACCTCTTCTTCCAAGATCAGTGTCGAACAAACTCAAAAACTGTTGACGATGGACTCGAGGTCGAGAGAGTTTCGGTCTGCCAGTTGCGAGAGAGTTTTGCAGTTTTTGTACGGTTCACTGTCAGCTTGCCAGGTCAATTTTCTAACTTCACATTTCTGCTTTTCACGTCGCATTTGCATTGTTTTAACCTCACCCTGTGCGGTTGTGTCCTGTTGTTTAAAATCTCTGGTGAATCGTAGCTGAGATCCAAATCCGATTGATTATTATGACGTTGACTGTATGCATTCGACTTAGATGCATATCGTCTGCCGCGTTTACGCTGCGGATGAATGAAAACGAAATTCCCATTTGGTTTGTAATGGCGATATTCTTCTCCTAGACTGGTTTTTTGTACAAGATATATCATGTATTGATTGGCATGCATTATTTTTACCTTGATCGTCCAGTTTTGAATAGACTTAAGAAACGGTTGTTGCTTAATCTTCAAAATATGAAGAGGAGTTTGAGTCTTTGAGGATTTATGCTATCCATAAACCTTTATACATCTAGACTGCTACGGAAACATACGGCTGAAGTCTGGCCTATTTGTTATGTTCGTGTTTAATTACTTGTACTTGCTTTTATATAGTGAAATCGTACAGCTGTTTATATCTTCTTAGATTAAGTTACCTGTTTATCTTTTGATGATTATTTAAATAAATAGGACAAACTTTGATTTATGAAACAAATAGCATGATGAAATGATGAAATGATCAGCGAGGCTTTTGGTTCAAAAATAATCAGTGAAAAATTACAAACTCGAACTTCACTGAGAGGGTTTGAACATACATCGAAGTATGGATATTGGAGTACTTCCGCGTTTAACATGTCGTATTTCTTTTATGATATTTAAATGCATTTATATGAATAGCTTGTTTGACTAAGCATGTGCAAGTGTGATTAGAGTGCTGTTAACTTCTTGCTTGCCAAAGCTTCAGCGATAATTTCCTTGAAACATTTTTTCTGATAGCTCTTACGTTGCAGAAAACATTAAGTACTTGTAATTATAATGTTATGTAATGTAATATTAAGTACTGTTTATTTCTATCGGAGGTTTATATCGTAGTTCCTTAATAGATCCCTTTGCTTCCGTCAACAAGGATTATTTCTCTGTCTGATGTCGACACCTCTACTCATTCATCACTACATGGCTTAAATCGTCATTTTAATTTAATTGCAGAAACATGTCTTTCCTTCAGCTCGTTCTCCCATTTGGGCCGACGTTTCCCAATTAATTGCTTGTTTTTTCTGGGTGCCAGTTCCTCATTGTCGAACTCCACGTATTTTCAATCGTGTAATGTTAATGTCACTTGCCCATCATTCGTTTTTCCTTTTCTTTTAAAAACTAGCACAACGTCCTTCATTCCTGAGCATCTTTTTGTTTCCAAATTTCGTAATCTGTTCCAATCGAAACTCTGAGCATCGCATAGTCTGCTCTTGTTCATCCGAAGATTCTTCATAATTTCTTGTTAAAACCCAGGTTTCGCAACAGGCACACATTTTCCTGCAAAAATGCGTTTATTCTCGCAATTTGCCTTTCTTTACTTAGCATATGTCGCGGATTTGCGTTACGTGATCCATGTAGTTTATTGCTTTATTCCCAGCTCCGGATTGAAGGAGCGATTTGAAATTAAACGCAACCCTGGAAAACGCTATTATAGATTTCTAATCAGTAATCACCATTGTCCCTGTCAGTAACTGAATTTTTAAATAGACTGTCACTATATAATAGTATCATACATAATGAGTTATTCATTTTTTCTGCCTCTACTCGTTGTCATCCTAATAAAGAAAGATGTTGCTTCTGATCGGAAACGTGTGCTTATTACTAGTCTATCGATTTCCTTGATTTGGGTGCCCTCACGATTGCATTAGAATACTTTTTATCATTGTTACTCAGTCGTATGAGTTCTTAACGCTGATAATGAGGCGTTGAGGAAATCATCTTAACATTACATGAAAGTACATTTAAATACGACGTTGCTTTCTTTCGTAAATTTGAAAAGTCACATTGTAAATACTTCCTCCAGCTTCTTGTCTAATTGTTTTGCATGCTTTCTAACAATCTTAGTGCTGAAAGAAACTTCCTGGCAAAAGTTGACAGTCAGGAAGTTTGATGTTTGCCCTGGCAGTGTATCAATAACGGATGTTTAAGTATGCAAAAAATTTGCCACTGTCATTAACTAGCAGGCCGCCGCCCGTTTGTGATTAGTGCCACATCTGTCGGGTATTCGGTCAAATACTCAGCTGTGTTTTTGCTTTGACAGTTTGATAATCAACAAACTTAAGAATTGTGATCTGAGAAATCCATGAATCTTGAACTGTGGTTGTGGTTCAGATTGCTTCCCATTTCACTTACTACCTTCTGTTGGTCTGCAAACCAGGTGGCGGTGATCTTTAAGCCTTGGCATGCTACTCATGATAACGATCATGACCTTGGTAAATGGCTCCTGAATTGTGACAGATCAAATCTGACTTTAGTTAAGAGCATAATGTTATATTTATCATGCTCTGGATGAGAAATGTCGAGAATTGTTTACCAGGGTTCATGAATGAGAACCATGCGTTCGTCACGTGCTGCTATATGGAGGACAAGGACATTTGTTTCCGTTGTCTGAGAAGTTTGTCCATGCATTCGTAGTTATACTGATAAACGGTGCAATTATACACGGTACATAGTGATCTCTTGCATCACGGACCGATACCGATATTTCGTTCCATTTCTCACGGCACGCGGACTTTCCTCAAGTTAAAAGAGATAGTGATTGCCGGTTGATGCGCAGGTAGTCATCTCTCAGCTCCACACGAGCAAACTGCTTCAGGCGTCGGTCTGTCACATGACATACCACATTATTTATTCGTTGCGTACAACGAAGCCCTTTTCCTGTGCTGTACATAAAAATAAACTGGATCTTATGAGTTTACTAGCAGTCCGCTAGTTATCGATACCGGCACTTAGAGAAATAGCATATCATTTCTTGACACTGGATTGAAACGGTGTAATGGCACCGTCCCCTCGCTTTTAATCGCCTATGGGACCATTTAAGCAGGCAACGGTTCTATGGCATTTTAGCGCTTGCAGTGAGTCGATAGAAAACTACATCATTATGCATGACTGAACAAGGACCTGTTCCGACACCTGCAAATATGGCACGATCCGTAGGCTTATTTGCACAGAAAAATAGAACCCCAACTTATGGGTTTACTAATATAATGCTAGTTATCGCTACCTCCGCTAAGAGTAATAATATTTTCTCTTTTCCGTGGTTATGATTCATGCACTGCAGGTGCTCAAATACCATGGAACTCAATATCATGGCCCACTTAAATGATCCCCTGCGCAGCTGGAAGCAAGGGGATGGTGCCACTATGCCGGGAGTAGGTCCAGTATCAAAAGAAAATGTTTTATCCTGTGCTGTGCTTATACGTTTTCAATGCCGTACTGCCCTGAGTGTTAAAAAAAAGTTTTCTCAGATCGTGTTTTATCTTTTTCATTCCTATTCTTTGTATCAATCAAAAGAATATTATTGCATTTAGCATTGCTTGTTTGTTGTGATAATCAGTTTGAGCAGTTTGCATTCGTAGAATACCTCTGCGCTGTGATTTCCGCTGAATTAGCTATTTTCAGAGAAGAGCTGGACTTTTCTTTTAAAAAGATATAATCCTCTTTTCGAGAATCAGATTAATGTAGAATTTGGAGTAGCAGTATTTCGACGAATTGTTTTATCATTAGTATCGTAGTCCAAAGATCACTAAGGACATTATTTTCTTTTTTTTCCAATATCATCCATAAAGCATTTTTTGGATCTTTCCCTTGTGTTGTCCATGAGTGTCGTTTCCCATTCCGAGGGTAAGTGACATGGTGAGAAGATTTTGCAGTGTTATTGTTGATGCTAGATGCTGCTCGGTCGATTGTAGGTAGTTCGAAACCAAATTACAGTTATTCTCTTCAACTTAATTGCTTTCACAAAACGCGTCGAAACGGCAATGATAAAGACTTTGAGGTGCTGTCATAGTTTTGATGACTATCCATCAGTATGATTAAGTTTAATTTTTCAAAGTTGCTCTTTCTTGCTTATTTATTCTTATTTATGGGTTATACGTTGTTCCGTTTAGTCATCTCTTTCAGAATATGAAACAACTTACAGTTCTAAGGCGCACACAGACAGAATGGCCATAGGTTTCGTAAACTGCAACATCATCATGCCAAATTATAATGATATATACCCTGGGTCACAGGTCATCGATTTGTTACCGTTTCTTGCCTGATTGCACCGATGCTCGATGGAGT